CTTGGGACATGAATGCATAATGGTGCTGTTGCGAGCAGAACCAATGTGATAGTGCTGTACACACCAAAGGGAACAGTACAAGTTGAGAACAACATAGAGAGGAGCATCAGGCTTTAGCCAAATTTAAGAGATTATGAAAATACTTTTAAATTACAGTCTGAAGGACAGGTGACCACAAAGATCGAAGTGATTCACCTTGCAGTGGTAAAACCATGAAGACTGTTTTCAAATGATGACATAGAAGTTAATAAAATTTTAATGGGAAACAACAAAGAACAGTTGGAACAAAATCTGTTTACCATTTCTTTACAATTGCTTGTAAAAGGACAAATGTACATACTACTGCGATAACACAAGAAGCCCGAGATAAGGTATCCTGTAGACAAGGTGGTGAGGCACTGGAATAAATTGCCCAAGGAAGCTGTGAATGCTCCATCCCTGGCAGTGTTCCAGGCCAGGCTGGACAGAGACTTGGGTGACATGGTCTAGTGAGAGGCATATCTGCCCATGGCAGGGGTTGGAACTGGATGATCATTAGGTCCTTTCAGACCCAAACCATTCTATGATTCTATGATTACTGACAAGACACATTCAAACAAGCTGCTGAAATATATTGTTGTGATGCCCGTGGGACATGGCCACCTTAAAATGTTGAGGACAGAAAGTACTGTTTATGAAGCAATGCCATCTGTTAGAAGCAATTTAGGGTCAAATCTGATTACCAGGCTATTTTAACAAATAACAGACTCCCTGAGGAATGAAATACTCACATTGCACAGAAATGCAGCGTTAGGACTACATGAGCCTGGCCACAAGGGTAAGAATGACTGTGACTCACTGAAGGGGATAAAAGAAGTTACAATGACATATAAAAACAATCTGTTGTAGGCTTCATTTATTGGTTAAATGTCAGGTCAGGGTAGGATGCCATGATTAAATGTTTAGACATCACTAATGGGTAGTCTCCCAGCAAGCAGTCAGGGAAACCAGGTACGGAGAAACAGCTCTTTATCTAAAGAAAACACAGGACCCCACTCAAAGTGACAGTACTTGAGAGCTACCCTGTAACCATGATTAAAGAGCTACTCGAAATGCTCTAAAAGTGATAAAGAGCAAAATGTTTGCGTTTAACTTCAACAATGTGAACTATACAAAGATAAAAAGAATCTTTAACAAAACAAAAACAAACCACAAAAAGGACTAAAAGGGTTCCAAGAAGACTTAAGTCCTTGAAAGCAGCATTTAAAAGCATCAGATCTGATGCTAATCATCAAAGAGGGTTTTAGAAGGCAGAAGAAAAAAAAGAAAACACAACCTTATCACACAGCTAAATAGCAATGAAAGAAAATTTTAGTGAAGAAAACATCTTTATAGAGTTTTGTCACAAGAGGACACATACAGAGATTGCAAATTTAATGTAAAACCACGGTAAGGCAGGCCAATATGGAAAATTTTATCAGCTTGAAAATAAAACGCTGCAATTTTTAAAGCACCTCAATAGTAACAGTCCTTCCCAAGAGCCCCTGCAGTAAGAAGTAACCTGTGTATGAGAAAAGACCCTTCAAAGAAGAGGAACCCACAGCAAAAGGGGCTTTTTCAATTTGCTGTGCTCTCTATGGGTTTGGAGAGGTTTCCTATGCAAGATCTCACAATTCTGGCAAACACTTTAACAAGAGCCTCAAAACAAAGTTAAGAACTGCACTACTCAAACCCCAAACCTTACAGTTGTAATAAACAGTCCTAGAAAACAAATGGTCCTGTAACACAAATGTCTATAAAAGCCAGGAGAGAAGTCCATACTGGGCTTACATCTGTGGGTACTGTTCCTCTAACTTGAAAAAAAAACTCCATCTAAACTGAATTACTATTACTACCACTAAAATCCTTAAAAGGTCCAACAATAAGGACAATGAAAACCAGAGTACAATTCCATACAAGAAACAGTTATATAAATTAGCATTTTTCTGCAAAAAAAGGCAAAGCATAAAATGAAGAACTATGAAATCATGTGTGTCATGGAGACCACAGCAAATTATCTCTCTAAAATCACTCTCTGCATTTTTAGCTGATCTCTGACTGCTTTACAGCTGATCTCTTCCTGCTGCTGCACTGGGAGAAGCAGAGAACATGAAAGAACACAGTTCTGCAGGTAAAGGTTAGGGGGCTAAAGGTCTGCTTGATGTTAAAAATCCTTGGAAGAAAAGTCCATCAAGAACTAGGAAGTGGAGAGACTCTGGTTGGGGTTCTAGAAGCCCAGAAGAAGACCTGGAGTATTCTGGACAAATACCAGTGTGGGCTTGTCCTGTCCTTACACTTGCCTATTTGGACATCCATCAGGAGGCACTGCTAGAGACACACATCAGGCATGCCACAAAATTAAGATCCACATATTGGTACTTTTAAGAATCACAGAATAGCTAGGGTTGGAAAGGACCTTAACATCATCCACTTCCAACCCCCTGCCATAGGCAGGGACACCTCACACTAGACACTGTTACCCAAGGCTTCATCCAACCTGGTCTTGAACACTGTCAGGGATGGAGCATTCACAACATCCATGGCAACCCATTCCAGTGCCTCACCACCCTCACAGTAAAGAACTTCTGCCTTATATCCAATCTAAACTTCCTCTGTTCAAGTCTAAACCCATTCTCCTTGTCCTGTCACTACAGTCCCTGATGAAGAGTCCCTCTCCAGCATCCCTGTGGGCCCCCTTCAGATACTGGAAGGATGCTGTGAGGTCTCCACACAGCCTTAAGTTGCAGTAGAAGCATTACATAGTGCATACTTTACCATAGGTCAGCCACTCCAACATTCAAACACTAATATTTCACCAACATCACACAGTACCTCTGAAAATCTCCAAGTATTTGACATAAAGGCATCATTATCTCCAATACAGAGTTAGACAAACAGACTAGTAACAAGCTAGAGTTCTGCCTTCTGGTAAACCAATTTTAGAGCGTTAATTTCAGTTACTGGAAGACTGAGCATCCAGGTTACATCGACTGGCTTCAGACTTGTCTAAGATATGACCAGAAACCAGAACTCGCCCCCTGCCACATGAGCAAACAGCCACCCCAACAGGAAAAGGGCGCAAGGCTCTTATCCGATTTGTGTCCTCACGCTCTTACTACAACCAAACGTATTTTATTTAACTAGTCTGCTACTAGATTTGTCAAAAGAAACTTGCTTTTAAACCTACAGAAGCTTAACTAATGAAGGCAAATAAAAGCATATGTACTGTTTTTCTTTTAGCTTTACAAATGCTACTGGGAAGAGTTACATGAAGTTCTTCAAAAGAGGACACTTAACTTTACATTGGCTAGAATATACAAAATTCAGAACCGGATTAAAAACTACACTCTAATAACTAAAAAATTAAGTCATTTGCGGCAGTTTAGAATAACCAGTTTATCAAACATATAAACAAGGGAGCTTTTCCATAATTAAAAAAGCCGTAATAGATGTGCAGAGATGTTGTCTTTTCTGATGTTCTAAGATCGCCCTCATGTGGCTAAATGCACCATTGCTGAAGCTACCACTAAAATACACTCGTACACTATCATACTCTCAACCGCACTACCAGAGGCGCTGAAAATACTCAGAACCTCACGCAGAATAAGCGCGTACTGCATGATCAGCCACCGACTTCTGGATACAAGGGGTAATGGGATCAAACTTAAACAGGAGACTCTCAGGTTAGATATAAGGAAGAAGTTCTTTACTGTAAGGGTGGTGATGCACTGGAACAGGTTGCCCAAAGAAGTGGTAAGTGCCCCATCCCTGTCAGTGTTCAAGGCCAGGCTAGGAAGAGCCTTGACCAACATGGTCTAGTGTGAGGTGCCCCTGTCCATGGCAAGGGGGTCGGAACTGGATGATCTTAAGGTCCTTTCTAACCCTGACCAATCTATGATTCCATCATACCCTGGTTGAAACACTTCAAACCTGATTTTGGAAGCACACATAAGAGAAATGCATTTGAAGTTGAATACAGGTCAGTAGTTGCAGGCCCAAATATACTGGATACTCACGACAGTGCCGGATTCAATGACCCTCAGAACACTTTTCATTACGATAAACTGAATTAATACAAACTTATTAGTAGCGATAGCAGCAAGAGAATTAAATTCTCATTTAAAGTTACATCAGGGAATATAAAACAGTCCTGGAATGCTTTTATAATAGTACTTAAATAACACAGCACCTGTTAGACATTCTCTTCACATAGAAGTTATTCCGATAGTGCCATTTGCTTTGGCACAAAACCCTGTTTGAGTTGTAAACTAATTGCAAATACTCGATAGGGCAGCCCTAAATAAAACTTAAAATTCTGAATATTAAAATGTCATCTCAGGGAGCCAGGACCAAAAGCTACATTTGAACATACACGGTGAGTTGAATCATTGCAACAGCGCTTCACAAACCTGTACTTCAACGAACAGGTAGGGACTGTGAAATGCAGAGAGCACGTACACAGCGTTACTGTGGCTATCAAGGTAGTTCTACTTACACAGTAATCCCTGTGCGAGTCAGGCCAATACAAGGCAGATAAAGGACTGCGATAACAATGCAATGGAAACGTCTGACTTTAACTCGCTGTCTCCCTTCTGCAGATAAACCGAGCTAAAGCTACACAAGCTGCTAAAGAAAACCACGAGTGTTTTAAACCCAAACGTGCCTTACTCCAATTCAAACAACAGCCGGCAGCTGCTCCTTGTCAGGTGCTCCCCGACTCCTCCTCAGGACCTCAGGGCACCACTCGGAGCCCTTGACCGCGGCCCCACACGCACACGGATCCCACGGCCCGCGCTATGGGGTTTTCCCCTGCTTGGGCCCGCGGGTAAAGGCGGCTCTACACTCCCCGGGCAACCCAGAAGCGACGAACACGGTTGTGGTTCGCGAGCACACCCACCCGCGGGTGAGGGAACTACTTTTCGTGCGGATGCAGCGTGACGACAGACGGCCGCCGGAACTACTTCCCTCCCCCCGTCCCTCACTGTCAGCGGAGGCCGCGCTGCAGAAGGATCCGTGCGCGCTCCGCGGGCCCCGAGCCGCCCCGCTCACCTGCGGCCGTAGCCTCCATGACGGCGGCGGGGAAGCGGCGGCGCCCGGGGGGGGGGGGAACTGGCCCAGAGCCGAGAGGCGCGGAAAGGGGAAGCGTAAAAACAAAGTCCGCTGTCCACGGCAGCGTGCCGGGGTCCCGCGGGCCTCCCGCTTTGGTGAATAAAGGCTTATGCGACTCGGTGCGGCGGCGGGGACCCGGCTGGGTGAACGGCGGGTTATGGCGAATCTGCCGCGTCCGACACGGCGCCTTCTTCCGCCGCGGCGGCGTACGGCGAGCGTGAGGGCGGGGCGTGCGCGTGCGGCGCCTGCGGGGTGGCGGCAGCGGCGGCAGCATCGTGCGCGCGCGGTGTCTGTCAGAGGCGCGTTTCGCGCTTCCGGGTGTCCTGAGGTAATTCCTGAGGGATACACGGGATGGGGGCTGTAGGCACATGGGGACAAGGGCGGTGTCCTCCCGCTCACCCATCAGGCTGCGGTGGTCCCGAGGGTCGCTCTGCTGGGGTGAATTCGCCGTTCCCGGAGCAGCCTCAGCCGTACCCCGGACCCGGAGGAGGATGGGACTTGCACTGCTTGCACTGATACAGCCCTTCGGTAACAAAGTCGGGTTAATTTACCCCCAGTAAATTAAAAGTGTCTTAATGAACCTGATACGTCGTATTTACTAGATAACTGGACAAGCTTGGGGAAAAAAAACACAGTTTACACCATTACAAACTCATAAATGAGCACTGGAAGCTTCTAGTTCAGACGGGTATTTAGCCTCATGCTTAAAACTGTGACTGGTTCAGAAGTTTTAATGTTTGCCTTGGAGTCTGGTGAATCACATTGTTTTGATGCAGCTTCTGCATTATGAATTTGAGTATAAATAATTTCTTCAGATTTTCTTAATGGGAGCTTGAAGACAGGAGCTTCCATGGCAGAGCACAACTGGTGGCTCTGGAACACTGGAAGACACGCTTGTGCCTCCTGTTCTGTTTTGTTTCTACGCTAACAACCACCAAATACCAGTTTTATCACTCAAATCATCACAAGTATTTAATGTATTCGGTATTAATGAATTCAGTATTAAATCCCATAATGTCTGTTATTGTGTAGGAATCTCATTATCCTTCCTGAACATTAACAGTGTTATAATATTTTTGTCATGCTGCAGAGGTACTCAGTTACGTGTGAAGAGTAAAAATAGTCAAAACGGGAATTCATTTCAGTATTGATTACAGTAATGAACCTGAATAATTTCCTGTTGGAAATAATGCATACAGAATAGCTGAGAAATAGCTTATAAAAGCATTAGTGCTTATATCTCATTGTGACCAGTGAAAATCAGCCACAGCAGAAGGTCACAAAACATATATATTAGTCCCATAAACAGTTTTAAATCTAGAAAATATCTATATGATGATTCATATCATAAATACAGGCTCCAGAACCCCAGTTCACATTCCACACTGCTCTGGGACTGAGCCCTCTCTGTCGTCATAGAATCAGGGTTAGAGTTGGAAAGGACTTTAAGATCATCAAGTTCCAGCCCCCTGCCATGGGCAGGGACACCTCATACCAGACCGTGTCACCCAAGGCTCTGTCCCACCTTGGCCTTGAACACTGCATTTACCACGTCTTTGGGCAACCTGTTCCAGTGCCTCACCACCCTCACAGTAAAGATCAGATATAGAAGACGGAGAACAAACTATAGGCCTGCAGCCAAAAGAAAACGGGTCCCTGTTACTTAACTCACTGGGACCCATGGGAAGCTGCAGTTCAGGCTTGCAGGGTGGGAGCATGGAGATTTCTAACAAGTGTTAAGATCATTGTGAAGGGAAGCATAAGCATTGGGAACAGAAGGAACTGAAGAAGGGCATTTGTTCATTGACACCATGGCCTGACTACGTGTGGCTCCCCAAGATGTCCAGGTCAGGAAAGCAGAGGGCAGACAGAGGAGGCGCAACAGGAGCTCAGCAGTGTTGTCAGTGACTCTCAGCGTGGGGTAAGTTGAACACACAGTAGATGAAAATTACTGTCGGCTCCTAAGTGGCACAAAAGACACACCAAGCTTGCCAGTCAAGGAACAGTCAGGAGACATGATGATGGGGACTCAGTTGCTTGTGTCCCTTGTTCCCCGTGTCACCACAATTCCACCCAGCCTGCCTGAACATGCTTGGTGGTTATGAATGTGGAAGGGCAAGTGTGAGGAAGTGAAATCATTTGTGTGTTAAAACAGTCACCTCTCCTGTCTGATGTCATGGTCTGTGCTGCTGCTTGCAGCATATTGAGCAGTCTTACACTGAGTTTTGCTGCATTAGTTGCTACAGATGCGGGAGGAGGCTTGGCCAGAGCCAGCCTCAGCCTTAGGCCCCAGCAGAAAGACTGACTGAGCAGCTGTACAGCTGAATCTACCAGTGTTCACCCCACTATAGAACCACAGAAACATAGATTGGGTTGTGTTGGAAAGGACCTTAATATCATCCACTTCCAACCCCCCTGCCATGGGCAGGGACACCTCACACTAAACCATGTCACCCAAGGCTCTGTCCAACCTGGCCTTGAGCACTGCCAGGGATGGAGCATTTACAACTTCCCTGGGCAACCCATTCCAGTGCCTCACCACCCTCACAGTAAAGAACTTCTTCCTTTTACCCAATCTAAACTTCCCCTGTTTAAGTTTTAACCTGTTACCCCTTGTCCTATCACTACAGTCTCTAATGAAGAGTCCCTCCCCAGCATCCTTATAGGCCCCCTTCAGATACTGGAAGGCTGCTATGAGGTCTCCACACAGCCTTCTCTTCTCCAGGCTGAACAGCCCCAACTTTCCCAGCCTATCTTCATACGGGAGGTGCTCCAGTCCCCTGATCATCCTTGTGGCCTCCTCTGGACTTGTTCCAACAGTTCCATGTCCTTTTTATGTTGAGGACACCAGAACTGCACACAATACTCCAGGTGAGGTCTCACGAGAGCGAGAGCAACTTCATTTGTCTTCACTGACCTGAATGATAGAGCCACATCATAGCAGAGTCATGTGTGGATATTCCAAGCTGCTGAGAAGCAGCATTTAGGAATCTGTCCTTGTCTTTGGTTCACTGTCTTGACTTGCCCTCTTCACCTTCTAGACTCCTAGTGTCCCTTTTTGCCCCTCTTCCCAGCCCTGCTCAATCTTGCATCTACCATTTTTTCTACTATAAGCCGTAAAAGGGAAGGCACATTCATGCTCAGGCATTTGCCACCTGTGAAATGAAGGGATTGTGCTCTTTTTAGGACATGAGCAATATTCATCCTACCTTGGCACTGTAGGAACATGCTCTGGTCCTTGAGTCACCAAGTCTTATTGCAGCAAGTAGTGTAGATTCTCCTGCCAAGAAAAGTGCTTGTCCCAAATCTCTCTCACAGAAAATGCAGTGGTTGATGCACTGGTTAGATGCACTGGTTGAGCATCAACAGGACTTGCGGTTTGTTACTTTCTACATACAGTTGTTGCATATAGTTATGCTTGGCAAGGTCACAAGCCTGTGTAAAAGGCCGTATTAATAAAGGCTGGGTGTTTACCAAAAAAAAACAGAGCTGGAATCTCTGATCTTTGGCATCTGACCCAGTCCAAATGTTCTGGGAGCTCTGTCGGCCAGAGGTCAGATGAGAAGGACAGGAGCAGAAGCTGCTGAGGTGCCTGCCCTGTTCACAGAACCACGTTAAAGCAAGGTTTGTACAACTCTGAATAACAATTTCCACAGCTTCAACAAAAACACCATCAAGTTCTTCCAGAAATTCCATCATGTGCCACCACGGAACATGATGTCCACCATGTAACTCGTCACCAGCTTGAGTGGTGCTGCATTGCACACCCAGCTGATTCAGCTAACAGGGTCAGTAGCATCAGGTGGAAGTGCCAGCTCAAAGTAGAGAACAGCCCTCGCCTCAAGAGGGAATCTGGTCCTGGGCTGGTTATTGATCTGCCTGTTCCAGTTTCCTCATTGACTAAATTCAAGGCCCACTCCACCCATGCGTCCTTCTCTCTCCTTTGTATCTCGTTGTCTGACCTCTTGCTGCCTTCTAGCTCCCAGTTTCATTCACATGAATATCTGTTCCATTTTCCTCAAAGGCTCTTCCCAGGTCCTGTCTTTCACCGCAACTTCTGTCCAGCCACTTGAAGATAAGCTCCTTCATGCACAAGTGTTTATCAAATGCAGCCACCAGTTCCCTTTCCTCAATCCAAGTAGTTCCTTGTTCTAGCCTCCATGTCTAGCCAACATCAGCTGACTGCTCCTTAACTGACTCTCATATTATACTAATAATAGAATAAGAACACCGCCACAACAACAACAAAGCAAAACCCTACAGTGTGCTAGGGAATGCAAAGTTCATATACAGATCCAGTTAAGCATTGAAGAGGGCTTCAGCCTGCTTTTGGAGTTGGAATCCATGAAGAGAGATGTCAGTTCCTCATAGAATCATACAGGGATTTAGGTTGGAAGGGACCTTAAAAATGATGTGGTTACAACACCCCTGCCACAGCTCTAACCCAGAGATCTGGGTGAACATGGATTACCACATAGAGATTGTGTTTCATTATTTTTAAAACTAAAGCACCACTGTTTAATGAGAGCAAAGGCTGAAGTTTGTTGAGCAATTCATTAGTTCTTCCTGGGATTTCTAAACTGGTTTTCCACTAAGAAAATTCTAGCCATATTTACAGCTGTGGAGGTATTCAACAGTGCCCTTATAAGATAGATTCTGGGAGAGGACATGAAGAAGAATATTCTCAATATATTTTAAATGTCTAATTAGGGTACATAAGGTATATAATTGAAGTTAAAATAAAAAAAAATGAATAAAAACATGGGATTCTTCCAAAGAGGAGCTCAAAGCACAATATTAAACAACAATATTAGGTGTTTAAAGTTAATTTATCTCCACCTTCTTGTGAATAATACTGCTGTTTATGCTGTCACTTTGATTATCTGCATGGCGAAAGCCAGTCCACCATGACACAGATTTAAAAGGAATTTTCAAAGCTCTTCAGCACAGATTTTTTACCTCGCTTTTATTTCCCCATTGATTTCAAAGGGAAATCAACTCAAGCTGATTTCCTGCTTTGAAATGCAAAGGAGGTAAATACTCAGAAATTATAGGAGGTCGTTTTGCACTAGTTTTATGCTTTAAAAAAGAAAAGTTGTCATTGCTTTAGTGTAAATGCCTATTTTTTCTTCCCCAGTATCTGGGGTAACTCTATGTGCTTATTATTTTTATCTGCTACGTTTCATGTGGGGTTCTGTGGTTAGGACTGCACAGCTGCTGTTTT